TTCATGGATGGTTTCGCTAGATCAGTTTCTCTGTTTCTATATAACATTGTACATAATCAGATTATAAAAATCTTTTAGATAAAAATAGATTTTTGGTAATTCCGCTTTGCTTCAAGAGGTTGCCAATTTAATAGTATCATACCGTATCATATACCATCTCAGTCATCAGACTATATCATACCGTAAAATATTTCATATGCAGTCATGGTACGTTTAAAGTGGGGCATTTTTTTTTGGATATATTTTGATATACATTGGACGTGAATGTATATTCATATAACCAGCACTGAAAAATCAAGAAAGCGATAAGGCTTTTTACCAAAAATCTATTTTTATACAAAAGATTTTTATAATCTGATTGTGCACAATCTTATATAGAAACAGAGAAACTGATCTAGAGAAACCATCCATGCCGCAAAACGAATTTGGCAAGAGGTGCTTAAAGTATAATGCAGCCATTATAATTGGGACAATCTTCCACATGAGGCAAAAATTGCTGAATTCGTAATTTCCTTTAAGAGATTTTAAGACAAAGAATGGGTTGAAATCTGATCGTTATCGCCATATTGTACTTTGATAATTCCCCTACCTCTTATTCCGATTTATTGTAAATACAGTAGCTTAACCTAAACTCACGTCCTTCATGGAAATAAGCCAACTACTGGCTGTTGAGACTAAAGCGTAAATAAAGTTTTGTATGTTATTCTATATAATTTATGATGCTGTATGATACGATATACAGTATGATATGGTATGATATTGTATGATTCTATATGATGCTGTATGATACGATATGATAAAGTATGATACAACATGATATCCTACTGTATAGTATGATGCAACATGATACAATATGATAAAGTATGATACGGTATGATACGGTATGATACAGTTTGATACGGTATGATATAATATGATACTATATTACGCTATACAGGGTGTATCAAAAAAATGTTCCAAATGTAAATTTTCGTTTTTCAGGATATTTTGCAGAATTTGGCAAATTTTTGTGTTCCTAGAGACAGTTAAGACTTATGTAGTATACCAAGGCCGTGATGTGATAATTCATATCATCATGCACGTTTATATAAAAAATCTACAAAAAATCCTGAAAAGGCTCGATTTTGACGCTAAAGACATCAAAATAATCCTGAAAATGTGAAACAAATCACTCTAACCGTTTTAGTTCCCATTTTGGGAAATATTTAATAGATTAGACCGTTTTAAAGTGTAATATTGAATAATAACTAAATCGTTTGCATTTTAAAATAAAGTGAATATTATGCCGAATTGGCAACATATCGATCTAAAAAAAGCATGTATCTAGATACTGAGGACAATTTCCTCTTTAAAAATAATGGTTTCTTTAACTGTATAGAAACACAGAAAATATTTTCTTAATAGAAAACATTTTCTGTGTTTTGCTGGCAATGTATTCATTAATCTTTTGATGAGTGGTTATTTACCGAAACATGTGGTATAATGTATGGTGGTGTATAATTGTATACTTGTCCCCAAGTCCCAATTTCTAATTTCTAAGCACACGAGATTCAATTTTTCTTCCTCTTACACTTAACACGTGAATAATCTTGAATGCTTTAAATCATTTTATATACCTATAGTCCTCTCAGGGTATATTCAGCGCCGTTTTTCTCAATTCTGTGACGAAACGTAGCTACAGGGAAAGGTCGAACTCGCCGTCAGACATTTCATCTAAACTTGCTTTGATCGTTTGTTGCGAAAGCTGTCATTCTTAAAAAACACGACATGAGTCGTCGCGGCTCGCTATTATTGGGAGGTTTTCAATACACAATGCCACTTCTTTCGATCAATACGATAAAAGCCATGCCACATATATTGAGAATTTGAGAATGCATCGTGCTTATTCGCCTCAAACAAATCAACATCGCTGCACGAACAAAACAGCACCTTTTATTACGCTTGCATGAAATTGTGCACGAAAACGTTTTCGCGCTTTTTATTCGTGTCGAAGATTGCGTAAAGTTTTTTATGATCATATGTAGAAACATCCATGTTTATTACAAACAGTATACAACTTGTTGAAAGCTGACTGACTCGAATGATAGGAAAATAGGCGTGCCTCCGTATTATAATAATTGTGCAAAATTTTCCAAATTGATAGCGTGTAAGACCAGATAAAATACTAGACAAAAGAATGCAATGACGTGTGTCACATAATGGTCGACACAACGCATAAGCAGAATGCAAATACAGACTGCAAATAAAAGGTAATAACTAGTGCCACCTACGATGAAAGGTCACTAGACATTCTCAGTGGCGTAGCCAGCCTGACGATTTTGTCCCGCTATGTAAATTTCGAGTTATTATAATTATTCATGTCTTTAGAAATATATTGTTTTCACAGTGAGTGAACACTAAAATATTAGCATAGCGGGACAAATCGACAGGCTGGCTACGCTACTGGACATTCTTAATACCTTGTCCTGGGAAACACTCGAAAATAGAAGGGGAAAATTTAAGGCTGTATTGATGTACAAAGCGTTAAATGGCTACGCCGCCCCAAGTCTAAAAGAATCTTTCTGTAAAAAGAGTGTAAAACAAAATACTTATAATCTTAGAAGTAGTGAAAAGGATTTAATTCTTCCAAAACCCAGAACGGAATATCTAAGAAGAAGTTTTAAGTACAGCGGCGCCATGCTATGGAACAACCTTTCACCTGCAGCTAAATCGGCAGATACTTTAAACTGCTTTAAACGAGAAATGACCGTAAACTAGTGGAAGATGCTGTGCCACACGTGTCAAATACGTTTATGTATTTTACATCTTTAACTCTATCTTTTTTAAAGTACTTATACTACATTGTATTATTTGTGTGACGCCCCTCGTGGAAATCAGCTATATATAAATATGCTTTCGAGGCTAGCGTGGGTAAATAAAGTTTTTAATAATAATAATAGGTATAAAGGCTCAACAAAAGCAAATTCAATCGTGACTTTATATTGCACGAAATACTGCAACCAAATACTGTTGCCATTCCTTCTATGAAATTGAGTCATGTATCAGTTAATTAGCTCGACCACGCAAAGTCGACCCCTTTTTTCATTATAGTGCAAGCAGCTCATTTCTAACAAAATTTAATTATATTAATTATTATTTAAGATTTCCCCTTTGCACCTGTAGGAGATATTGATATATATTATATAAAATATAAATTATTATTTTTTTTCTTGCGGTCCGAATTCATATTTTAGCGTTTCCTGCAATCTGATTGGCTACGCGAGCGGTCCGCATGAGGCCGTACGGACCGGGCGAGATTTAAAAGCACGCACGCACGGGGGGCGGTAATTAAAAAAAAGAAATCTATTATTTACCAGTTTAGTCGGTCCGTCTATCGGAAAATATTTTCTTGTTTTTCAGACCTTGGGAAATATTTCTGTATACGCACCTCCAATCTGGCAACCATATATATTATAAATGAAGACTTCACGAATACTGGTCGCCACCACCGCTTGGGATGAAAAGGGCGGAATAAAAGAGTCACAGAGTTGGCGCAAAATGCAACAATTTTTGCAATTCACAAAATAACAGTCTCCGTGCAATTTTTTATTGTAATTTGGAAAGGTACATGATAACAGTTAACATTAAATAAGAAGGTCTAAGCTACATTTGCTTAAAAGTAATTCAATATAATTATATATGTGTGTTTTGCAGAAATTACCAGTAATTAAATCTGTATAATCATATCGTGCAGACAACTTAAGTTGCTTTTATACACTGGCGGTCAAAAAGAACTGCTCAAATGTTGCTATTTTCGTATGTAACAGGAATCGTAACAATCAATCTTTTATTGTACACTTGCGGTCAAAAAGAACTGTTTAGATACAAATTCATAAAGAAGAAGCAAATATAGGAGAAAGCTTCATAGGCATTTTGGATAATTCTCTTATTCCAAGCAATATTTCAGTGATGTAATGCAACCTGCCACACTTCCAAGATAGTCAAACAATGGTTTCATGGGAAGAGGAAGGGACAGAAACGGATTGGCCTGCACAGTCAAAATACCTTAACCCTATTGAAAATCTATGGGACAATGTCAAGGGGATAGTGCAAGAAAGGAATTAATTCATAAAGCGTCCATGATTTATGGGTTGCTGTAAAGACTGTCCATAGGATGAATTTCTTTTGACCGCTAAGATTACCACCTTAACAAAAAGTATGCCACGCCGGTGTAAGGCCGTCATGAATTATAAGGCCAAAGGAGGGTCATTAATATTAATATTTCATATAGCTTAGCATGTAATTGTAATCTAGTCATTTACTCGTATATATTGTTAGAGGGACAGTTACGTTCATTTGAGAGCATTTTAACTTGTTTTGAGCAGTTCTTTTTGACCGCCAGTGTATATCGGTGAATAATATCTTTTTTAAAAAGTCAGGGTGCATAAAAAAGGAATCTGTGCACCGACTTGCTAAAGTTTTCCTACTGTTGACAGAAATAAGCACTATATCAAGAGTTCATTTTTACATGATTGCATAAGTTAGCTAATTTGCATTTTATCTAATACACGATATCGCTTTCGATTTCAGATTTGACAGACATTTTTTCTGACCATGGTAGATCAATAGAGTAGTCATTTTGAAACGTTTCGTTAACCGAATTTTTACATTGAGCATTTCTAAAATCCTCCCAATAAAGATATACTGCTAAAAGTTTTATCTTGTTAAACGGTCATATAGTTACATACAAAAGTTAAAGGTTTAGTTTAGTTATAAAAGGTTTTAAAACTGTCCTTTTGATCAGAAAACAGTGATATCATGAATTTAATAGTAAAAGTTAAAGGAATATGTTTGGATGAAATGCTCACATAAGACATTCCTGATGCCCCAAATTTGTGGAAATGTTAAGGTTTTTTTACAAGTTAAAAATAATATTGTTTGTCTCAGCTCTGTTGACTATTGGATATATGTTTTTTTCTAAAGTGCTCTTATGCAAAGAAATCAAAGGTTTTCACGATGAACTACGTCGTATGACGAACTAAGATGGCATCCAATTTAACTACACACTGGTCAGCAGGTAAACGCTCAAGTTGCTCCGTTGGCCAACAATTCTTTATGAGTGATATGTACTCTGGAATTGTCACAGTACCTGCTTCCGTCTTAATTTTAGGTCGGTAGTTGTCGGAAATCTTCTCGCTAAATTTCTTCAAAGGAATATTGTGACACTCACTGTAAACTACCTCACCATACCACATCTCCCACAAGATCAGCCCGAAACTGTAAATATCAGCACTGGCATCACAAATCTCCGCTGCAAATATTTCTGGGGCCATGTACAAGGGTGTTCCAGCTATCGTCCCTGTCACTTCTGTTATATTCTTCGAAAGACCAACATCAGCTATTTTCATACAATTGTCTCTTCCAAACTGCAAGATAATTCATATTATAGATATGAGATAATTATTATTCACTCAGTGCGAAGGGGGAATGTATTTCTATAGCTAATTAATTATTGGATGATGTTAAGCAAAACACTAATTCAAGTACGCTCTTTCTAGCTGTGGTGATTTATTTTATTTTTATTACTTGGATAAAAAATTAGTGTAAAGCGCAAGTCGTCCATTAAAGATTTCCTTTATTTTTTTGCAGGTTTACGTTTGGGCTATTTCATACAAGGAAGCTACCAAAGTTTGCATATTCAGTGGCTATATGGGAAGTATTGAATATCAAACAATTTTGGAGAGGAAATTGCTTCCTTTTATTGCTGCTAAATACTCCAATGGTGACCGTTTTTGGCGGGATAATGACCGTAAACATACAAGCAGCCCGGAAGGGAAAGGAATAAATCATTTTCCTATTTACCTGAATCATCGATATATATTGTGATTTATGTGTTTTTATTTTGTTTGTTTTACGTGTCAAATGAAAAAAGTCCAAAGACATTACACTAACACAAAAAAAAGCCGCCTTCAAACAAAGCAAATATCAGTCTGCGATAATTTTAATCAACCCAAGCAATATGAAAAATATGACGTGAGCAGCATGCGAACGTTCAGTTTGACCTCGCGCATTGAAGCTATCTAGACTCTAGTATACGTCAGTGGTTGAGGTTTATATGAAGTTAAATAGCCATAAAACTTACTAGAATATTTTCAGGCTTCAAGTCACGATGAACAATGCCCTGGCGATGCAAGTAATCAAGTCCCACTGCAATATCCTTTGCTCTTTCGAGCAAGGATTGAATTATTTCAGATACATTTTCTAGTGCTCTGGCCGGGAAACACTTTGGATGTTTGGTGAAATATTCCCTCAAACTTTCTGCGCATAATTCCATCACGAAGACAAATTTCACACCACTCTCATCAGGGTGCAACGCTCTTCCATAAAATTTGACAACATTTGGATGATCCAGTATTCTGGAAAAAATTATTTACTATCAGTTGAAGCAAATATATATTGTGCGGAAAATATTCAAATAATTCGGGAAAATACCCAAAAATAATTTTAATGTCGATCAAATTTTTATTGCACCTTAACATTTGCTCTTCTTCCAACAACATGGAGGCATTCTGTGTTGTTAGAACTTCTTTACAAACTTTCACAGCCACGTTTAATGATCCTTTGTCTTCTGAAATCATTTTTCCTTGGAAAACATCCGCAAATGATCCATGACCAAGTAACGAATTTAGATCGCACTCCAGATCTTCAAAGTCGACGTCACTAAGCAAAACATCATTGATGGCAAAAATGGATAATTCGCCTTTGGTGTCAGAACATTTAGCAAATATAGGAGCGTATTTCTCTGCGTCTCGTAGCATCGCTTCACCTTCCACAATAAGCCCCGATATAATTATTTCGTCAGCCCTGATTATTGCTGGAATTTCAAGCTCCATCTTTTCAATGTTAATGCTTATCTCTTCAAAATGCTTTGAGATAAAAGGATGGAATCTGTTTTCAGCAATGCAGCGACGCCGGTATTCCTCAGCCTTTTTAGCCATGTAGCTGGGTTTATTAATTTGATACGACAGATAATTACCGTATGTTTGGATGTCGTCTTTCAACGCAATCACGCCTTGAATGCGCATGATAATTACACAAGCGACCAGTGCCACGGAAACATAATCAACACACCGATCAAAATTTTTCCATGATTGTAAACGGTGTGTCAACTTTGAAATCAATAATTGTTGTTGGTTCTTTACTAACGTAATCTTCCACGCCTTGTATATGCACGTGAAGAAGATTTCTTTGGCTCGTTAACTGATCTAACAATAACTTCCGAGTATTTTCAATGACACGATGCTTAATTTCCCACTTTTCAATTTCTTCCGAGAATCTTTGGCTGATAACCTCAGCAATTTTTCTCTCTGTTTCTTCCCAGTTTTCTATTTCGGGACATTGGTCTTCATCCCACGATAGAACGTTGTTCTTGATAACGTCCGATGAAAAGTGTTGTGAAAGTCGATCGGCTACTTTCTTTGTTTCGTTTGTCAACTCTTTTTTCAAGCTTTTAACACTTTCAACAAGTTTTTGTTCAATCATTGTTAACTTCTTTCTTGCCGTGGCAACAGTTGCATGTACATCCTCTTTTTGAGCTCTGTTTTTAAGCAATTTTGTTTGAAATATCAGACGTGAGAGAACATCATTTAACCATCTATAAAAAGACAGGGTACATAAACATAAAGAAATAGCAACATAACCTAATATCAATATATGGAATAATAAACCTCTGGCGTGAGCTAAACGCGCGAGCTTTTAATTAACAGTTGGTTATGCACCATGAATGAACATTTTTCACTTTCTCGTATTTTTTAGCTAAACATTTCTTGGAAATACAATACTTTTCAATACAATGCAATGCATGCAATACATGCAATGAAATGCGGTATGGCGCAGTGTGCAGTGTATTTATTATAATATGCATGCAGAGCTTTCGTTCTGTTTACCCACGGGCTCTAATCAGTGCGACAAAAGTTTATAAGTCTTATTATTATATATACCACAAGTGTCAAAGTTTGTTGTTCGTAGCGTTTCATTGGTCGAGAGCGAATCACGCGAGAAATTTTGATGTCGTTCGCGCGACCCTCTGCAGAGTGAGATAACGTGTTTCCCATGGGAAATAACAACTTTAATCACGTGCGCATGCGGCTGGACGTGCGTTGGTTTTTCTTTGACAAGTGGTATAAATTATAATAAAAAACTTATTTACCGAGAACTCAGAAAACATTATGTTTTGTGGACCATCGACCATGGATATAAAATTATGTGCGATATGTCACTCGGCATCGACAGGTCTCGGGTCCATAAAAAAATTTTCTCCGTTCGAAAGAAAAGATTAAATTTCTAAAAACCGTATTGAAATCTTTCTCGTGCTGAGGCTTTAATTGCAATTTTTATTTTAAAAGTTGAAAATTATTGGGCACTCTAATTTCTTTTTGGGCTTTCAGATGCCCGATCTTCATGGATTTTCCTAATGGTCCAATAAACAGTTCTGCCGGTTAAAAGATGCAATGGAGGTGTGAGCGTGAGCTCCGCAATTTATTTGCTGCATTTACTTGGCTGGAAACCCACAGGTTGGAACCCTTTCATCTGGTGAGCCATTTTCCGATATTTGAACTTTTGGATTTGCATAACATTAATTGATGTCCCTAGGCACGCTAGAAAAGTTTAATCTGCCTGAAACAAACATATTCGCAAGATGTGCATGACTTTCTTATAATTATTTGGTATTGTTTTTTGTTTTAGTTTAGTCTTCGAAAACACTTGACGTTCATTTTCTTTTCTATGAAAGTCTTGAAGGTCAACGTTTGATGGTCTTGTTAGTTATGAGAAAAATTTGAACGAGTGAACACTGGTGATCAGCAACGTGAATCTTTGAGACAAAAACGTAATGAGAATTGCAGCAATTGAAAAACCTTTGTCAAAAAAGCACGGATACATTTGGGGACTGAGTGCATGGTTATAGAGCTTGCAAGCAGGAGTAGGTGTCTATTTTGTTCCGTATTTGCGGTAAGGATGCAGTTGATATGAGCTTACTATATGTCACATGCATAAGCGACTATAGAAGGCCATTGTACTATTTGAATTTTAATTGAAGAAATAGTACTTTAAAGATTTTAGAATCGACGACATTATTCTTCGAACATTTTGACGCTAACCTTAGTCTTTTTGAGCAAATTTTGTGCAGTTTTTTTGTTTTACTGAAGTTACAGATTGAACAAGTTTTACATTCACTTAAGCTGAGATGTTTAAGAAGGTCCCTACAATTTCTGCTTGATAGAGAAGAAAGACGGGCGATATAATACAATGATGTCAATGTCTTGACTTCTTTTGTACCGCGGACAGTAAAAATTTTATCTACAATATTTATTTAAGTCCTTTCATGATATAAACTTACATCGGGCAAGCTCGGTATTCTGAGAAAACGTATTTCAAATTATAATTATTATACTATACGCACCTCCACTCAGCCTTTAGCCTCGCTGCGATGGTTTTGAGCATCATTGTTTTGATTGCGTCCATAACTGAAACAAACTGTTTAGATTTAATCCCGAGATCTCTTGCCACAGCAGCATTGGTGGTTGACATTTGGACAACCTGAGTCTTCGCATTCAAATTTGGCCATGTCTTCTTGAGACGATCGATTGTATATTTTTTGACAGCGGATTCTTCAGCACTACCTTTTCTTTCTATTAGGTCCCATTTATTGCAGACGAACACAGCACGTTCACAAAGAAAGCATTCAAGGGATTGGTCTTTAACTCTCTCCAAAAGCTTGAGTATCTAGGACAAATTTTCTACATTAGTATACAAAATAGCTAATATACTAGAAATACATTCATGCAGAAACCTGTCGTTATTTTAAACTAAGTACACCATTTTCTGAGCTTGCCCGACCTATATAAACTTATTACAATGTTATTAAATATTAAATAAAACAGAACAGTTCCATGTACAACGCACACAGCATGAGTCTGATTTCAGAAATAAATGCATGGAACGAGATTAGTCGGTATTTTCAGAGAACAAACGTCGAAGCTACCGAGAAAAGAGCGGTCCAGACACGGAAGAAATTATACGGACCACGGTCCGGATATGGGTTTTTACGGACCAAATTTAGGTGAAAAAAATCATTACTAGTTAAAAATGTTATAGCAATAGAAAATAAAATAAAATACTATTAGGAAATAAAATTCTAAAAATTCTAGCACATTATCGACATTAATGGAAGTCTGGATGCATAACTCACCCGATCATTTTGAACTCCCCCTGCATGACTGCTGTCAATGACATATACAAAACAAAACGCGGTCAGAAGATAATCATTCACAACATCATCTAAAACATTTGATTCACCAATTCCTGGACTGTCAACAATGACTATCTCATTCTATAAACAAGCGTGAATAAATATTAAATAGTTAAATATTAAATAATAGAGCATAAATTAAATTCATTTCTTATTTACCTTAAGCAAATCGTGAGGCCAAAATAATTTGCATTTTTTGAAGCGTGATCCTTTTTCACGATCATCACTTTGATCCAAATAGTCTCTAAGTTGATGAGGATAACTCTGTCCTTCAGCTGGATCACGTAAGATAAGTTCTTCTGGTTGTCTTTGCTCATCTTTGTAATATGCTACAAGCTTCCGTACCTCTCCATATCTCAATTCGCAAATAGTTGATGTGGCAGGCAGTGTACTGGATGGGAGAATATCTTCTCCAAGAATTAGGTTGATGAAACTACTTTTTCCGGAGCTCGTTTCACCTGAGGTAAAAACAAACATAACTTACTTTTCGTTTTCGCCAGAATAGTATAATAAGCTTTCGGAATTCTGGTGTGTTTTAAATTCTGCTTTTTTAAATTCCGCTTTTTGCAAAATTAGTTAATTATTTTTCTCGTTTAGATTTTCAATCATAATACTGTCAATTCAGTTTGTGCACATGATCGAGTCACTAGTTTTTTTCAACATCTTTATTAATTGTCAATATTATGAGATTTTTTCATGTTGTAGCTCTGGCTAATCAGGCAGCGCAAAATCCCCGTGCAGCGCACGTGACATTAGGCAGATTTAGAATGAGGACGTGAACGTCAAAGAGTCAAAGACGACGTAAAAATAGCGAGTAAATGGCGGGGCATGTCCATATTTGGGCCCATCACGCCATTAATTTTGTTCACCATTTTCACGTCGTCTTTGACGTTCACGTCCTCGAGCTAAATCACCCTATTGTCAAAGAGAAACTAAACAATAAGGTAGACAACGAAATATCTATTCATAAAAAACACAGTCTAAGACCCCGTTCACACGAGACCGGTCGAATTCGAGACCATGCACGAATTCGTCCAATTTCGCCTTGCGTTCACACGGGACCATTGAAATCGGACGAATTCGAGCATTGTTTACCGGACGAATTCGCGACTAAAAAAATCTAGGTCTAGTTTTGTGCCGGTTCGGTTTTAAAATTTCGCAGCCTCGTGTGAACACCGAAACCGGGCGTTTTCAAGACCTTTTGGAATCAAAATTAATCATTACATGAAGTACAGCCCTGGAACGTAAACACAAACCACAATATTGCGACAGTAAACTGATATTTTTAAATAAAAAATGAATGATAAAAAGTTGCTCATAGCAGTTGCCGTTTTATCATTGCTATCGTTGATAGTGGGGCTTATTCAATTATCCGTTTTGGAAGCGGCAATGATTTATTTGCATCGAGAAAAACGTCGCAAAATGCATCCACAAGTGATAACGCGTATTCATCTGCATCGGTTGTCCGACAGTGGTTGGTGCATATAAAAAAGAAACGACGTAAACCACGAAGAACTATGTGGATTCGACCAGGACGAACGTCTGTATGGTGGGACAATTTTATAAACAACGTGATGATTGACGAAGAATGGCGAGAAAACTTTAGACTATCGAAAGTAAACTTTTTTAAGTTGTGTCACGAACTCGAACCATATCTCCGCAAGAAAACAACGAATATGCGAAGAACCATTTCCGTGGAAAAGCAAGTTGCCGTTACCCTTTATTATCTGGCCGATGAGGGTAGATATCGTAAAGTAGCGAATGCGTTTGGCTTGGGGAAGAGCACTGTTTCGGGAATTGTTCGAAGGACTTGTGGGGTTATATCTGCTGTGCTAGGCCCAAAGTATATAAAGTTACCAAAAACTAAAGAAGAAGTTCAGGAATCAGTAAATATGTTTTACGAAAAACAATGGGTTTCCTCAATGCATTGGCGCCATCGATGGAACCCATATTTTCATCAAACAGCCTCATGAAAATCCAACTGATTACATCAACAGAAAGAATCGACACTCAGTGAATGTACAAGCTCTATGTGATTTCAAATATTGCTTCACTGACATTGTTATTAAATGGCCTGGAAGTGTGCACGACGCCAGGATATTTTACAATTCTGCATTGAAGGAGATGTTAAACGATGGGACAATCCCCCCACTATACGCACACTCGTACCTGATACTGCACCAGTACCTGTATGTATTTTGGGTGACCCAGCATACCCTCTATTACCTCGCCTTATGAAGGAATTTCCTGGTGGAGGAAACTCTGTCAAAGAACAGTTCTTTGGTTACCGACTCAGTTCTGCCAGGATGGTCATAGAATGTGCTTTTGGAAGACTCAAAGGCAGATTTGGTGCTCTTCGCAGAGAGATGGATATCAACATTGATGAACTTCCCCAAGTGATCCATACGTGTTTCATTTTGCACAATTTTTGCGAAATTAATAATGATCCATTGGTGCAGGAGTCTGTTACTCTTGGTTTACAATATGAAAAGGAATTCCAACCTGCACATAGTCCTTCAATCAGAGAGCAAAGCACTGAGGCTCTCAGTAAAGACATCCGAAATGCATTTGTTGAATTTTTTGAATAAATATGATAATTTGGGACAATGAATTCATTTAATATTTTCACAGTGTTATTTCTCCCTGTGCTTGAGATTTTGGGTGCATTATAGGATTAGCAGATCCTATGTAGAATGTTTTGTAAAAATAATTTTATCAAATTGTTGAATTAAATACAACATATGTTGCTATGACTAGTTGCTATGCCAGCTCACGCTCTGAAGTATGTGCAAATGTTTCTGTTTACAAGCATTTCAATCTCACCAAGATTTGCATTGTTTTCTGTTATTTTCAAACTATTTAAACTATTTATTTATTTATTTATTTAACAAATTTTTTGATATAATGAGCTTTAAACTGAAATATTTACACAGAATAATTATCATTAAAATCCCAAAGCTTAACATAATTATTAAATTTAAATAACATTCAAATTGAATTTAAATAATATTTAAGTATTGAACAATTTGGGTCACTTTCTTATTGTATGTTTTTCAGTCCAACTGAACTAACTGGTTGTGCTGAGGTTTCAAGATTTTCCAGCATATCATACTGGCTAAAACCTAAGTAGGGATGTTGAAAAGCATGTATTCCACTATGAATATGATTGGCTGTTGCTGTTTGCTCTTGATTATCTTTTAATAAATTACCAAGAAGAGTGAAACCCTGGCTGATTGTTGCTGTTAGGGTGGTCAGTCCTGTAGCAAATGAATCCATTGTTTTTTGGTATTTTTTCTTCTTCCATTTTCTCTGTAGCTTTTCGTTTCAATGACAACTCTTCCTTGGCAATGGCTAGTAGCTGTGACTCTGTGGCAATCTTTTGCTTAGCTTAGCATCTTTTTTGTTATTTAAAAACGTCAACAAGCTCCTTCTCCCATCATCTTTTGATTCATTCTCGACGCTTTCTTCACACAGTGGTTCATCTACTGGGTCAACGCTGTTTGAAGGCAAGGAAGAATCTTTTTCCAATAGCAATACATCAATGTCTTCAACAACATCTTGTCTGGAGCTTTCTATTCCATTTCTCACACACTCAACTGCTGGCGAACCTCCCCAAATAGCGGAGCATTCATCAAAAAACGTTGTGACAATTCGCCCCCCGCCACTTCTTCGTCCAGAATCTAAAGCTTTTTTATAACCTTTTCTTATTCGTTTCAGTTTGCTCCATATTCTTTCTTTATTGAAAACATCACCACAATGAGGAAACTGGCTTGAGGTGGTTTTTGGGTACCCTTCCTTGAATTTAACGACAAGGTCTTCATTCTTTGTTTTAACAGAATTCCAGTCTACGCCTTCGGCGGCTTTTGTCGACTTATAATCATTAACAACGCTGAGAAGTAATACTATTTCTTCATCCGTCCACATAAAATTTTTTTCAGCCATTTTAAAAAGTTTTTCCCGCGCTAACAGCAGCTTTATAGTGCCTCATATGCGCATGCGTCAATAAATGATTACGGTCTCGAATTCGTCCGGGTCCGTGTGAACACTTTCTGACCTGTAATTCGACCGGTCTCGTGTGAACAGCTGTAATCGGACGAATTCGTGCATGGTCTCGAATTCAACCGGTCTCGTGCGTTTTTACGTGTGTAGTCTAAAGGTCGCATGTCCAGGTGCGCCGCACGTGATTTAAGTTGTTTTTCCCCATGCAAATAACGCATTATTTTGCAGGGGTTCGCGAGGCGACATCAAAATTTCGTCACTTTCGCTTGATTCGCTCTCGACTAATAAACGCTAGAAACACCCAGAAAGTTTGACAAGTTGTATATAATAATTGTTTTTCACTAAGCAATAAAAAAGTTTTCGTAACTATTGTGACCGTTTTTTTACTCAGAATAACGTGCCTAGTAATATGGAAGCAATTGATGATAAGTGTTATCAAAAGAAAAAAAATTGATCAGTGGACCACCTGAAATCACAGGCAGCCCGGTCCCTGCTGTTACGTCATGCTATTATATATGTATATAATTACAATAAGGCTGGCAACTCTCTCGCAAAAAATATAATACATACATTAATACCATCGATTAAAACAAAAATACTACGCTAGTTTCTTAAACAAAAACTACATACAAAACACCTTGGATATACAGTATTGGAATAAAATATGGAAACACTAAAGTTAGGTTTGAATTATAACAAAATTTAGCTAATAAATTAGGTTAACAAACTACCACAATCGTGGGACACAGATTCAGTGAATAAATACTAAGTGCATGTACTACGTTAGTGCCCATTGGTAAAAGTTCACAACAAAGAAGAAGAGAATGGCCCCTGGGAGAGAGACAACAGAAGTACAGAGAGTACAAATGAAGATTCTGAGGGATGAAGGCTACTCATTCAGGAAGATTGCTGACAGGATGAATGTGTCGCCGAGCACAGTGTATAAGTGTGTCCAGCGTCATGAACGGAATGGCAATTTCAGAAACACCACAGGAAGAGGAAGAAAGAAAAAACTGTCAAAATCAGACGAAAAGTACCTGAAAGTGACGTCATTAAGAAACAGACGAATGTCCAGTAAGGAGCTGGCAGGAAATCTGGAAGCTGCGACAGGGAAAAAAGTGTCCTCAAGGCTGGTTCGAAAGACCTTGACAGCTGGTGGTCTTGGAGGTTATATAGCTGTGCGAAAACCTTTGCTGCGAAAGGGCAACAAGCAGAAAAGATTGTTATGGGCCAGA